GAATAGAGGGATACAGACCATGTGCAGGCAGATGGGATTAGTTGAGAATGACATCATCACTGGCACAGACATGGTGGGCCCAAGGGTCTGTTCCTGTGCTTTACTATTCTATGACAGAGAAATAACAAAGCATCAACTTATTTATATCATTAGGTGGACAAACTCCTCGATCTGAGTTTTTATCGTGAAAAACAAAAAAAACTCTCAGAAGGTTCATTTCAATTTTTTTTTAATACCACCTGCTGTAGTAGTTAGTGCAATTAAAAGGCATTACCAGAATAATTGTTTAAATTCAGGACTTTTTTCCTTTTTATAAACCTGAATAATGGTACAGTCATTTCTGCTCTTATATTACTGCTTGAGTTGTTTATTTCAGATGCGCATAAGTCAAAGAAATGGTCCAACATCTGCTTTGATTATTTTTAATGCACTATGACATACTTAAACATTTAACAATTGACACATGTCATGGCCACACAAAAATAGAACACCAAAAATCATTGGGAGGGAAGGCCAGCTGAACAAAAAATGTTAAATGCCAGGACAGGTGCACATCTCAAGATTCATGTTCCTGAGAGGGGGTAGGCCTGTGGACAGTTTCCAAAAGGACCTGGGCAATTTTATGGGTAAGTTTACAGATATTTTTGGTGAATTTATTTTTCGTGTGTTTGTTATTTCCCAAGCCTTAGATTTATACTGCGAACTTGCATTAATGAGAAACAAGATAGCAACTCTTCAATTTAGTTTGTTCTCCTTGCTTGTTGTATTTCTGGCAGCCGCTGACTAATGATCCATAGTTTGTTGGTTTTGTATCTTCTGAGTATTTGCTCATAAGTATGTTTGTTTCCAGGGCAGTTGCCATTTCGTCTATTTTTATGAATACATGATATTTCAACCGATCAGATGCTAACGTGACATACACTTTGCATGTATGATGCTTTCAGTTTACAAGGATACACACCAGAGGCAACACTTCTGATTATGTGAATAGATTCTGAGGGGGAATGAGAATGAATGACCAAAGGATAGATAATAGATTCAAGAATTTATTTTCCTCCATGTTCATCAAGAAGACTGGGGGCTCCCTAATATAGAGGTGAATTCTCCAGGCAGAATGAGGATGGGGAATGTTTGAAATTACAACTAAGGACTTGACAAATAAGCTGAGCACTTGGAGGACTTGTGCATAACCTAGTTGCACTGCACACAATGTTGCTCAGGAAATAACTAAGGATGTAATGGAGCACCCGCATATTGCAGAAGGCAGTTGTAATGCCAATATGTTATAAAATTACAGACGTGCTGTTCGTATTGTGTCTTAATCCCCTGTATTGTTAATATGACTGTACTCTCAAGCATTCTGTGCCGTTAACATTATTGTGCTCTCAATCATCCTCTACTGTTAAGATTTCCTGCAATCCTCCTGTACCATTGACATCATGGGTCCTTCTTTACGGTTGATATCACTGTATCCTCAACATACCTGTACAGTTAACAACACTATCCACAGTCCCCTTGTACCATTAATATCACTGCACCCTCGGTACTCCTATAACATTAATACCACAATCTTTAATCATCCTGTACTGTTGATTTCACTGTACCCTTAATCTTCCTGTGCCATTACAAACACTGTACTCTGAGTCTTCCTGTATTGTTAGTATCAAAGTACCTTCAATCCTCTTATACTGTTACTGTATCACTAAATTCAGTACTGGCTTTTTCCCAACTTCACTGTTTTATTTGCTACTTTGTTGTGTTTGAGCCAATTCTGAATCACAGTAGAAAATTTGTCATCTCCTGCATGAAATCTGGGTATATTCTGCTGCCGTACAGGAGGAGTATTGCTGACCACATTTCTAAAATCTCAATATTCGGTAGTGGATGGATTATTCTTGTTCACTTCAAAAAATTGCAGTGGGTTTCTGGTGAGCACTGTAGACTCATTCCTTTGCATGCTGTTTTCAGTTTCTATTAATGAATTGGATGAAGGGATCAAAGATATTGTCACTAAATTTGCTGATTGGGCAAAGTTATGTTGGAAAGTAATTTGTCAAGAGGATATAAGGAGGCTACAAAGGGATAAAGATAGGTTAGGGAGTAGGCAAAGATCTGGCAAATGGGCTATAATGTGCGAATGTGAGTGGTTTGTCAATTTCAGCAGGATTAATCAAAAAAAGAATCATTTTATCTAAATGAAGAGAGTTTTCAGAGCTCTGAGGTACAGAGAGATCTGGGTGTCCTAGTGCATGAATCACAGAAGGTTAATATGCAGATGCAGCAAGTAATCAGGAAAGCTAATATTATATTTAGTCTATTATGAGGGGAATTGAAGACAAAAGTAGGGAGATTATGCTTCAGTTATATAAAGCATTGGTCAAACCACATGTGGAGAACTGTAAATGCATTGAAAGCAGTTCAAAGAAGGTTTACTGGACTAATATCTGGTATGAGTGGGATGTCTTATGAGAATAGGTTGGACAGGATAGGTTTGTATCTGTACGAGTTTAAAAGACCAAGAGGTACCTTGTTTGAAACATTAAGATCCTGAGGAGTCTTGATAGTTTAGGTGTGAAGAGGATGTTTCCTTTTATGGGAGAATCCGGAACTGGAGATCTCTTTTCAAAATCAAGGTTGACCCATTTAAGACAAAAATTAGGTGAATTTTTTTTCTGAGGGTTGAGAGTCTTTGGAACTCTCTCTTCCTTAAAAGATATTGGAGCAGAACATTTGAATAATTTTAGGGCAGAGGTCAATAAATTCTTAATAAGTAAAAGGGTGAAAAGTTATCAGGGTAGGCAGGAATGTGGAGTATTCAGATCAGTGATGATCTTATTAAATGGCAGAGCAGGCTCAAGGAGCCAAGTGGTCGTCTTCTCCTATTTCATATTTTCATAATATGTAAAGATTTTCAAAACAAAATAATGAATTCTAATATCATCAGTTTCCTTCAAAATATTTCAATGGAATGTCTTATAAATGCTATATGAATATTTGACTAGAGTGAGTCCTTTTCAATTTCATAGCATGGAAATAGCTTTGATGATATTAAATTTGTCAATACAGTTTCATTGGCTCACAAATGCTTACCTTTAGATTACTAACCAGTGCTGGAAGATTATTGTACAACAAACCTAACACACAATGTCCTCAAGTAACCTCATGTGAGGGACCCATCTCCAATTGATTTGGTGAATTTATCTGTGTTCTCAGTGCTTTCCTTCAGGTTTTATCTGATCTGTTCATACAACTTGTCAGATGTTGGGTCACTTCTGATATGTACATTTAAATGTCCCCTTATCCTCCTCAGCACGCCTTTGACCAATCAGTTCACCTGATTCTGGTGGTCCAGTTAATAATTATCTCCCCTAACCATTTTTTTTTCTGTCCATATGTCCAGTGTATCCACATCTGCTGTGATTTACAACAGCAACATAATTCTTTATTTTGTAGTTACACTCTCATTCCTCATCTCCTCTTCTGCTCTTGCCTGTCTTTATGTTTCCTGAAATATTCATTATCAACAGATCAACTACCTCAAACTCTCCAACAAAAAGTGTGTGTGCTGGAGAAACTCGGCAGGTCTGGCAGCATCTGTGGAGAGAAAAATGGAGTTAATGTTTTGAGGCCAGTGACCCTTTGTCAGAACAGCAACAGTATGTTTCACATTTTCCCCTGTCCATTGGCCATACTTGTATATTATTAACTCAACTAACACACAATGCCACCAATGACCTTGAAATTGCTACCCTTATGATAGTACATTTTCATCTATAACCTAACTCCACAACACTCTCTGAAACATTTAGCATCCATTTATACTTGTATCATTGGTTCTTTTGTGATTGTTGGTCCATTTTTTTGGATGGTGTTCTGTCCATTCCTTTGTTATGTCATTTTCTTGTCATTCACAGGATGTAGGTGTCGCTGGCTGGGATTTATGGCCCAAATTGCCCTCAAAAAGGTTTAGCTGCATTTTTGAACTGCTGTTGTCCATGTCATTTAGCTACATGTGCAGTGTTGATAGGGAGGGATTTCCAGGATATTGGCCCAGTGAAGGAACAGTGATACATTTCCAAGTCAGGATGGTGTGTGACTTGGAGTGGGAATTACAGGAAGTGGTTTCTTCATGTATCTGCTGCCCTTGTCATTCTAGATGATAGTGCTCACAAGTTTGGAAGGTGCTTAGGAGCCTGGGAGAGTTGTTGCAGTGCGTCTTGTAGATGTTACACACTGCTGTTACTGTGTTGGTGGTGAAGGAAGTGAATGTTTCAGATGGTGACTGCTGTGCCAATCAAGAGCTATTTGTCCTAGATAATGTTAAGCTTCTTGAGTGTTGTTGGAGCTGCACTCATGCAAGCAAGTGGGGAGTATTCCATTGCACTTCTGATTTGTGCTTTGTAGAAAGTGGACAGGCTTTGGGGAGTCACAAGGTGAGTTACTTGCCTCCGAATTCCTAACCTCCATCCTCCTCTTGCACCACAGCATTTGTATGGCTGGTCCAGTTCAGTTTCTAGTCAATAGTAAGCCCCAGGATTTTGGAAGCAGCACATCATTCAGTTACAGTTACCCATATGATGAAATGCCCCACAAAACCATCAGTAAATACCTTATGGTTTATGTGGCTGTTTTCCCTGTGGGTAACTACTTGCTTCATCATGCCGGAATATTGCTCTTGGTTTCCCACACTATGCCTTATCCTTATTATAGGTCTCTGTTAAGGTCTGTGCCACAGGATTTTGTTCTTGCTCTCTGCCGTCCCTGAAGGCAGTCAGCTTTGAGCTGTACCTCAGTCTTTTGAAAGCTACCTTCTAGAATGCAGCCAACTAAGCTGGTCCTTGAACTCAGACCTCTGACACTTGTTATGTGTACTACTTCTGGCATCTTTGTAGATTCACTTCCCTAGACGCTGCAAACACAACCAGCTGCTTATCTATTTTGCATGATTATTTGCTGTACTATTGTTTCATGCTAAATCTATGACTAATTTTCTGACTTACTTGACTTGGCTTTGTGGATTCATCCATTTTAGCACAATGTTCATCTTAGGCCAAATTCATGCTTTCCTCATTCATCACAAGCCCCTCTTGTCCATTAGTTTTCATCTCTCACAGCTGATGTGGTTGCTGAACAGTTCAAAGTATTTCCAGATATTCCACAGCTGCTTCTATAGCATGGCCATTTCTCGTGTCACAATCTCTCTCAGCCAGTATTTCAGGCGTATAGGTTTCTGCGTTAGGGTTAGACTGCTTGTCAGCTTCTTTTTAGTTTGGATCAAAGCATGATGGCACAAACCCTGGAGACTTTTACTAAGTCTGTGTGGGAGAGCAAATGGAGCATGCACTACCTGCAATTTCATCCCTTTTGTACATGTAGCATGCTTGCCTCAGCACTAACCAGTTTAGCTTCAAATGTGCTTTTTAAAATAAGGCATCTGTATTTATGGAGTTGCTTCAGCTTCCAGAAGAAACTCCTATTTAGTTGAAAAACAACGTGCAAATTAAGAACCGAGTAGGCCATTTGGCCCCAAAGGCCTGCTCAGCCATTCAATACAATCATGGTTGATCTCACTGTGACCTGCACTGTGCTTTCCTGTCTACCCACATTCCCTGACAGAGGTCTAGCCTCTCCCATTAGAGGAAACATCCCCTCAACATCCACCCTGACCAGCCCTTCAGGAACTTGTATGTTTTAATGAGATTAACTCTCATACCTCGAAATTTCAATAGATATAGGGTCAACCTTTCCTCATAAATTAAATCCCCTCATCCCAGTAATCAGACAAGTGAATCTTGTCTGAACTGCTTCTAATGTACTTATGTCCTTTTTTTTTAAATAAGGAGACCAAAACAATACACATTCTCCAGATGTGGTCTCACTTGCACACCATACAACTGTAACAAAACTTGCCTCTTTTATACTGGATTCTCCTTGCAATAATTGCCACCATTCTATTTGCCTTCCTAATCATTTGCTGTACCTGCATACCAGCCTTTTGTGATTTGTGTACCAAAACATCCAGGTCCCTGTATGCCGCAGAGTTCTGCAAACTTTCACCATTTAAATCATATATTGCTTTTCTGTTCTTCCTGGCAAAAGTGTGGTCTTTAAAATTGGGGTCTTTGACTGCTGTTTATTTTTGTCCGTGACATAACTGGAATTCTGACCTTTTCAATGTTGTTATCCTTATTTATTCACATCGTTTGGAAATTAATATTGGCATAAATCAATGACATTGAAAATTGTGCCATATCTTTTGAAGCTTTTCAGGTTATTGAGCTCTCTTTAAGATCTATTTGCATTTTATTATGTACCTGTGGCTGATATCAAGCTGAATTGAAACTCCAGCTGAGCTTTACAGCAGCCCCACTATAGCCTAATGGCAACATAGCACAGTGAGAAACCAGAATTGTTTTGGCTGCAGTTGGATATTGGGTATAATTTGAAATCCTGCCTTACCTGTTTTCTACATTTATGTATTTTGATTGGGGCCTCTGATAGCAGAATTCCTTTTGTGCATCATTTCAGCACAAGATTGACTATAAAATGCATCAGGACCTTGATGGAGTGACAATACTGGTATGGTATCTAGAGCATTTTCCACGTGATTTTCCACACTCAAGTGAATGTAGCTGCTTAGTGATAGAATATGACTACATAAAGAAAGAGTTAGAATGTTGTACTCTTGAGCGGATGACCGCATTGCACCTTGTTTTAAGACGCAGTCCTGCCACACCATATGCCAAGTCAAAGCGAGGACATCGAGAGGAGGATCAAGAGGACCTGACCAAGGATATGGATGAACCCTCCCCTGTCCCCAACGTAGAAGAGGTCACACTACCAAAAAGTGGTAATATGTTTTTCTCGTTTCGTGCTTTTAGTCAGTTTGAATTTAAATTGGCTTGTTAATTGTACATAATGCTATGGTTGCTTTTGCAATTGGAAGCACATTGGAGCTTCTCAAAAGTTTATGTTATTCAAATTGTCTATAAACTGGCCACGTTTTAAGTCCAGGTTGGATTTAGTTCCAAACAGCAAAGCTGGAAATGTTCATCTTGGTGTCCTGCCCAACAGCCACCCAGATTGTTTTCAGATTTGATTTCTGCTCTGCTGTACTGCAGTGACAGAATGAAGGACAGTCAGTTATTTTCAAATGTAAATCAAAGACCTTAACATCTCGATCTTGTATCCTGTTTTGTTACTATTGATTGTACTCTGTGCTGTGGTGTAACTTGTAATTTCAAGTCATTTGCAGATTTATCAAGTGAGCTGCCAGTATTGGGAGAGTACTTTTAATTCCACAAGAGTGCAGTCGACATTAGAGTATTCCATGCATTGATTCCGCAACTTTCAGGGCTTTACGAATGGCAGCTGTGTAGACTGATACTCTCTGGAAACATTTTCAAGTAACCAGATTTTGTGCTCAGGCCAAGATAATCTCTACACTGGAGAAATAAGAAATAAATCTAGTGAAATCCTGTTTCAGCAAATGGGTCAAAAGCTAGTGTGAAGCTGCCCATAGCCAAACCGATATCCCACAGGATTGTTCAGGCTGCACTGGATGTAAAGAGTAGACTTAGCAATTTAAATCAGGATTTTACTTTGAAGGCTGGACATAAATGCTGAAGGGAAAGTGAAGAGTGTGAGAGTAGGTTCACAAAGCTCAGATCTTCTTGCTAAAGTGTTCACAGCTGCAAACAGTGGTTGGGCCGAATGGCCTGTCTGTGTGCTGTTCATTCTCTCTGACTTGGGGGAGGGTCTTGCAACCATAGACTGAAGAAAAACAACTTCTACATCACTTAGAACTTTGTTAGGTTTAATTTCAATGAGGAAAATGATCAATGCAAAGTACTACCATTTTGCTTGTCAGCAGCCAGGATTACTTTACAAAGACGTAGGCAAAGCTACAGTTCAACTTGGTGTGTAATCTGTCCTTGGCTATTTGTATCTGGGCAATTGGTTTATCAGATTGTGATGGAGATCACCAACTTGAGTGTGCGCCTGGACGTTGACCTAGTATTCAGCAGTGAACACTCTGATTTCCGCTCAACAGTGCTGTCTGCAGTGAGGTCCAGACCTATTACAAGATGTATTCATAACAACTGTTTCTTTACAGTGCCTTTAAATGAGAAAACATCTCATTTGACCTTCTGACAGAAGCAGCAATGCTATTGCTGAACCAAAGCTCACACTGGTCATTTAAACAAACCAATCTTCATAAATTAATGTATACACCCTTCAAATCTATTTCAATGCCATAGCAAAGCAAATTACTGCAATACTGGAAATACAAACTAGGAGCAGAGAGACAAATACTCGGGTTGGGCAGCACATAGGAAGCGAGAAACAAAGTTAAATGTTTCAGGCCTTTGTCAGAACTGAAAGAAGTTGAAAATATATTAATGAGTCATTTGTTAACTGCACATTTACTGTTCAAACTCCATTAATGAGCTGACAGCCCTTGATCAGCTGTATTTTATTTTCCATTCTGAGTGGAGGGTCCTTGGAACTCACTCCAAAATTGCGCTACAGTTGCTGTCCAGTTTTATCCGGGTGTAGAAAGTTTAATGGCAAGATTGAATGTGTACACCCTTACGCTATCAAAATACATGGTAGATGTATACTTGAATAGTTTGACAAATTGTAATGTGATTCTGAGTTATTCCACTTAATTACAGCAAAAGGAACCAATGATGATTGCTGGAGAAATATTAGAGTAGGCTAGTATAGAAACAATAAAAGGGTGAAGTGGAGAAAAATTGACATTTTCCTATCTTTGTGTGCATAAAATGTACTCAGTCAGCAGTTAGAAGTCACCTGCCAAAAGCTTTACATTTGTATTAAATTATGCATATGCCAAACATGCTAGCGTGTAAGGCAACTGCTATAGAATATTCAGTGGTTGAATGCCCCATATTCTCCTGAAGAAATTGGCATTGAACAAGAAACAGCAACTCTGTGTAGCTAGTGTCAGTAGCAGTCTTAACTTGCTTCAAGAAGTAATGATACAAATCATGCAATTAGTTATTACTGATTAGAAGCATGTTGCCGAAGCAAACATCAGGCCAAACACAAGAAGCTCCATTAGAATTTTGACATCTGCTCAGTTTCACATTGAGCAATAGCTGCCATCTATAGCAAATGCAGGGAGACCTTTAGCATGCAGGAGGCAATCATAATTCGAGTATCTCTTGTAATGATGCCAAAATGTTGTGAAATTCACTATCTATGATGTGGTGACTGGATTGGAGGCGCAATTTAGGCAACTGAGAGTGCAGGATACAGAGACCTTGCCATAGTACGGTGGTGTGGTACAGTCGGGCTAGAGATCAAGTGGATGGCTTGGTTATTGTCACCAGTTCCTTTCCAGGAGAAACTGGTCAAAGCATGTACGTCCCACAGCTTGTACCAGTTTATTCCTGGCAAGTCCATTTGAGTGTATAGTGGTAGCGGTAAATAGCCAGAGGAATCACAAGCAGATTCTCCTTCCTGCTTACTCACTCGAATGAAGTGCCATTTAGAAGCAGAATAAGAGAAAGAGCCTGGGGCACAAGTACATGTAGCACAGAGGCATCTTGCGATAAACAATACATCTTTGTCATTATTAGCAAAACCTTTCACGTGAAGTACCACGTGAAGCCCTGTTTCTCTGTTGGAAGTTGAGAATTTCATGATACAATTAGATGAGCAGAGTGCTTTTCTTGAAACCTGGTGAACATTCATCCTAAAACCAGACTCAGCAATAAAAAACAGAAAATCTGGCCTTTTATCTTATTACTGCTTGCTGAGCCCTGCTATGCGCAAACTGGCTATTGCTTTTGCCTGCAAAAAAAATGACTACACTTCAAAAATGTTGAATTGTTTGTGAAATGATTTAAGCAAAAAGCATGCAATGCAGTGTACAAATCTTTCTTTCCTGGAATAGAGGCACAACATCCAGTGAAACTTTGCAGTCATTAATTCTGTGCTTATTTTCATAATATAAAGAGAAGCAAAATAATAAAAATAGCTGTGGGATAAAAAGGGCAATAAAGATTTGAGAGTTCATATTACCTTCCACTAATTGGTTTGCGCACACATTATTGGAAGATTGTTTAATTGACAACTTGGTGAGTCCATTTTGATGGTACGCCAGGTACTCAACCTCTGCTGACTTGCCATCATCAACCTCCTCTTCCACCTAATGCTGCTCTTCATCCATGTTTAGGCAATTAAATGTTTTCACGGAAGTATGCAGAATACCAGTGCTATTCTTCCAACTCTCTGTACAGCACATTGTAACACATCCACTTGCAAAATAAACGTTAAGACTATTTGAGCACACCAAAAGTCTGCTCAGTAACGCTCTTCAAGTTCACATGCTTTTTAAAAGAATTTTGTGTGGTACACTGTATATATGGCAGATGAATTTTGAATGAATTATCACCAGGGATTATTGCTTTCATTGCTTGAACTGTCAACTGCCAAAGCGGATCACTAGCCCAATATTCATTCCCATTCAAACCAATGGGATGGAAATCAAGCAGGTTCTCCAACACGCCAATTGCTATGCCAGAGGCTGACAATCTGTTGTGCCTGTTTACTGTTCAAATAGTGATGGTAAAAATTACTCTCCTGTCTCTGGGGAGCAAAGTTTTAACCGTTTGTTGTTCCAGAATAATCGGGAAACATGCAGTAGTATTCAACTTTGGACGTCTTTGACCAGCCCTGGAAGATGTGCAATAAGATACGAATAATTCTATGTCAGCAATCATAGGCCATTTGTACATCAGTAAATGCGTGAAAAGAGTCTGCCCTGGTTGCCTGCATCACAACAACAACTGCACTTTAAAAATAGGAACAAAAACAAAGTTGCTGGAAAAGCTCAGCAGGTTTGGCAGCATCTGTGGAGGAGAAAACAGAGTTAATGTTTCGGGTCCAGTGACCCTTCCTCAGAACTTCAAAAAATTTAATTGTGTGTTAAGCACAGTGGGATGTCCTGAAGATGTGAAAAGCGCTATATAAATGCAAGATCTTTTCTTTTCATAGTGGGATTATTTCCTGATAGCACTAAGATGTTGTACAGGTGCAGTAATGCAGTTGGTATCTCAGTGAAGGAAGCCTGTCTTGCTCTATAGCTGCTTTTACATGCTGGCATTGAGTGCTCTTTAATGGCCAGCATTTCAAAACAAGGCATCTCTTTTTTTTATGGATCACTAAGCTGGCAGATCATTGTGATTCCTCCTGCTGATCCCCAGAAGGACCCTGTGGCAAAAATGTTTGGTGTAATATTCACTTTATAATTACTGGCAGCATGTTGCTGATTCTAGAAGAATGGCGTTCATTGTGAAGCAGAGGCTCCTCGTGAAGTGAGACACTGTCTCCTTTGCTTAATACACGGCCCTGGATAGCATTGAGTTTTGGTGGTCCTTCCTGTCCTGCCTTTCTTGTGTCCACTTCAGCTTACCTATCATACTGAGACTTGCTATAATAGTCTTTTGAAACCACTGAGTATCACACTTCAAAACTTGTTTCTTTGCTTCATAATGAACCACAATTTATATTGGAAAACCATCTTTTATTTAAGTATGTGTGTGTGTTGGGTATGATGAAAATCAAGGCTGAATGAATTGCTGATTAATTTAAGGAGCCCAAGAAACATTGAGACTGCTCCATAAACAGTAGCATGAGACTACTTCACTTTAATGCCTTCTCAGTGTATGTGCTCGATCTAATGACCGTGACTCTTACTCAAACTACTAGTTTTGGAAGCTTTGTGACCAGTGAGCAGCTAGCATATAGTTCAGTGTCTGACTCTATATTTGCCTTGTCACCTTACAGGAAAGGATACTGGGTTAAGGTCATTCCACCTTTTTCATTACTGTTTCCTGGCCATTTCTCAATTAGGCTCAGGTTGTATTAATTGAGCTACAATTTGAAGTAACGTTTGCATATGTACTGAATATTACTGTCCAAACTTTATTGCTTAACACCAAAGCAATCCTGGCAGACCTCGGTAGCTGTGGTGATAGCTCTTGAGCAAAGAATTCACTGTCCTGAATTTGCACTGCTTTGGTACACTCTGAAATTACGTTAAGGGGTCTTAAAGAAAAAGTGATTGGCTGCCTTCGAGAATCTTCATTCTGAATGATTTGCATTATTTACTCATTTTATTTGTGAATGGTTCTTCCAGAACTTGTCAAGCTAGGTTTTAATGTAGCCATGTGTGGAGTTTGCATAATGTTTGAAAAATGAAAATTGTAAAATAGAGAACCTACTTCAGCACTCTTCAGGACTCTTCAGCACCATTTAAAATAAACTGATAAAATCCTTTTCCAAGGTTGTTAACACGTTCAATCAAAGAGCACAGTGTGTTATTCACCCTCCACAGATTAACCATGTATCAAATTGCCAGCCATGATGCACTATGCACACCTCATACTGGCGTCAAGTTGGTCAATAGCATTTGAGTATTGAACCCAAACTTCAATAGTTTTCTGATTCTGTGCTGGAAGCAATCTTCAGTTTAAAGTGTGGGATTATAATTCAAGCAATACAACAGAACATGAGTGCAGTTGCTTCAAACTTGCAGTGTTCATTTTTGGTTTTTTTGTGAATTTTTGTGAATACTTGTTGTTGTAGAATAGTTTGCAATGTTTATATCTGAAGATTTTGTCTTTTAGTGAACACGAAGAAAGATTCTGAATCAGCGCCAGTGAAAGGTGGCACTATGACTGATCTCGGTAAAAATAATCTATATCCATGTATCTGTTTACCCCTGTCAATCCATCTCTGCCCCTATCTATCTACCTGTCCCACTCCACCTAGTTAGCTTTAACTTTCGATCTACGTCTCAGTCTAAATTTTAGCAAAAATGATAGAGCAATCTTACTTCTGGCACTATGGTACATTCCGGTCCATAATCTAGACTAAATTTCCAGTGCAGAATTGAGGAAGTTCTGCATTGTTTTAGATACCCTGTTTTGGATGAGATGTAAAACTGAGACTTGCTTACATGGTCAGGTGAAATGTTAAAGATCCTTTGGCACTATTTGAAGAAGGGTAGAGTGTTCTTAAGTTGTCTTTATTTCTTAGCTAACGCTATTGAAAGCAGATTATCTGGTCATTCATCTCATTGCTGGTTGTTGGAGCTTGCTGTACACAAATTTATGTAATCCACTTGGACTTGAGCAACGGGTTTGTTAAGCTCCCATGTGCAAGACTGATCGCAAAGCTAAGAGCCCATGCGATCCAAAGAAATTTGACAGATTGAATCCACAATTGGCTGAGTAGCAGGAAGCAGAGTTTGATGTTTGAGGGATCAGTATCCAGTGGAGTCCAACAGGGTAATTGTTGGGGCCCTCACTGTTTGTGGTTTCTATAAATAATTTGACCTGCATATAGGAGGGTTGATCAATAAGTTTGCAGATGATACAAAAATTAATGGGATGGAAATAATGAGAATATTTACTTAAATCCAAGAATTACTTTCCATAATAAACCTAAGTAGTTATTACTACACCAAAGAAAGGAATAAACAACTATTTAAAACATATAGCTAAAGATTCAGCTAAGTTAGAGTAACTAAAAATTTTAAATTTATGTTTGTGCTACCTTTAATCTGATCAATTGTAAAGGCAAATTGTGAGCAGGGTCAGTCAGAGGTGAAAGCTGTTAAAACCAAATCAATTTCAATTTGGAAAAAAACCTTGGTGAAAAAATTTACTCATGTAGTGTTGATTCCCTCGGGGCAGACAGAAGCAAGAAATGTTAACTACCTGTCCCACACAGCTTTCTCCAATAATGTCATTGGGGAATACCATGTAGGCCACATAGGTAGTGACTTTTGGCACTGTCTGCACCGAGTTATTGACCCAAGCCTGCAAAGCGCTATTTGGAATTTCACTATGTGAACAAAATCTTCCTCCATTCTTCTTCATGGCGAGCAAAAAGATGCAGACAGTATTAAACAAAAAAGATGCACATGGGATAATCTCTTAAATCTGTTCATAGTACAACCAACAAGACATGCACACTATGATGAAGGTAACTATAGCCCCCTCAATGCAAAGTACTTATAGTATGGAAACAGGCCATTTGACCCAACTAGTCCGTGCCAGTGTTTAAACTCCACATGAACATTCCCCCAACCCTCTTTATCTTGCCCTATCACTGTTTCATTCTATTCCTTTCTCCCTCATGTTGCCCAACTTTCCTTATATGCATTTCTGCTATTCATCTCAGCCATTCCCTGTTGTAGCGAGACATGCATTCTCACCACTCTTTGAGTAAAAACGTTTCCTCAGATTTCCTTGTTGGAGTTATTTGTGGCAATCTTATTTATGATTCCTGTTTCTAGTCTCATTCGGACATGGAAACATTTTCTCTACGTCTAATTTATCTTTATTCCTCAGTCTTCTCTTTTCTTGAGAAGAGCTTCAGCTGCTTCAATCTTTCCAGATAAATATTACCTGTCAGTTCTGGAGTCTTTATAAGAAATATATTTTTCTTTCTTCAGTACCTCTGTATTCTTGTTTTAAATGTGGAGACCAGAACAGTTTGCCGTATCCCAAGTGTAGTCTAGCCAATGAGCCAACAGGAAATGCCAAAATATGCAGAAGTATTTGTTTTGTTACATCAACAGAGTGCCTGGGCACTATGTCTTCAGGCTCACCTGCGAGTTGTTCCCTGGCTAATCGAGTTTCATATTTATAACTTGCTTGACATTCGGCGCTCAGCCAGTACTCAGGTAGGATACACAGTACAGGAGTTCACCGCCATTTTGGCGGCAGCAATGCAGATTCAGGAATCCTAGAAGTATGTCATATGCACCCCTTTGAAATTCTTTGGATTGATAAATTAGACCACCTTTGGGACCGTATTCAGTTAGCAGCATAAACTGAGATAGACCAAACATTTCTCTGGTTCAATTCAAAACAAATTTCATTATCTGAGATCCTTGCCCCTTAAATCCTCCTACATGCTCAGACATATGTCTGTGGTTACAGTGCATCTCAAGGTATAGCATCTCCATGTTTGCCTGAATCTGGATCGTTGCTGGCAATATCCAAGGTGTGTCAGTGTAGTCATTGCCAATCATTTATGAGAAACATCCAGGAAGTTAATATTTTTGTGTGTCTTGTTTCTCGTGGTCTCACAGGAAACCTTCTGCTCTTAGATCAGTTTATCTAGCACTTAGTTTGACTTGCCCATTGCATGATAGATCATGGTTCTTAGCTGAGACTCCAAGAGAAGATATTTCAGAACACTAATCTTACTTTCCAAAGTGACCACTTGAGCTATACCAGCTCAGCCAATGATTCCCTAGTTTAATTAGTCAGTAAAAATTGACCGTGTTTTATCCCTGTAGTCAGATGATACTACCCTGCAACAGCTCCTCTCAGCACGGTTGACCGTGCTGTATTGTATCCTTAAAGAATGAAGTCCCAATAATAAGGGAACTGAGCTCAGGGCAAGTTGTCCATGTAGCAGCCTGCTTGCCACTACATGGACTGCTTGTCCAAGGCTCAGTTCTCTTTTGGATGGACCTCAATGTCAGTCAATTGCTATTAAGATTGCTAAGGCTGGCTTTGGAACATTTATGGGTCGTTGTACAGAGAAAACTGGTATTTAAGTGATCATAAATCACTGTGGTGGTCCACTACCTTGTGTATCCAGTCTGTAGACTGAACTCTAGCAATCCAGCAAGGTTGTAGTTATGTAGAAGATGCAGATCATTTAAAATACTGTGAAAATCCCACAAGCTATGCAAGCTTTACTGTGTAAAATAACTTCACATTCTTCTTTTTGACTCCTGTTCAAGAGAAACAGGAAAGAAACTTTATTAAAATCTGGGCTCACTCTTTTGAAGATATTTACACTACATTCTGAGAAAACAGTGTTGATCACTTTTTTTCTCTTCCAGATGAGCAAGAGGATGATAATCTGGAGACAACTGGCAAGGTAAGCATGCTGACCTTGCATCATTCCGATACACTTTGTACCTTTTCAGATAGTTTTCTCTTTACTCCGTTTTTTTGCACTTTCAGACATATTTTTGAATTGCAAGATTGTATCTTAAGGTCATACGAACAATGCCATTTGCCATTGAGTTGGGTTTTGTTGAACTTGTCAGATAAGGTATAGTGGATGATTAACTGCATGAGTGCTGGGTCACTGAAGTCGTGAAAAGCTAAAATGGCAGAGAAGCAGAGGGCATATTCTTTACCTTTTGGTTATGGTTTGTTTTTATTGTGCAGTTCCCAAATTCAGAGAGCCAGACTCATCCCAAATAGTGGGTACTCCCTCTATCAAGGATACTCATTACAAAACCAGAAGGCCAGCCATAATTCAACAGATCAGTGTTGTGGACAGCTGTCCTATAAATATATAAAATTGTACAGGCAGTGAGAGAATGCTGATAAAAAAAACTGCAGATGCTGGAATCTAAGGTAGCAAAACAGGACCTGAAGAAGGGTAATACCCAAAACATTGAGTGATCCTTTCCTCCAGATGGTACCTGGCGTGCTGTGTTCTTCCAGCCTCCTGTTTGTGTAATTCAGAGGATGCTATCTACCAGCATCAGCACATATTCCATTAAACTGACCATTTGCTCCAATGTAAATTGTTGAAATGTCTTTTTTTGGCATTCACTTATGGGCTATAGGCATCGCTGGCTGGGCAGCGTTTATTGCCTTTCCCAAGTTGCCCTTGAGAAGGTGATGGTGAGCTGCCTTTTTGAACCGCTGCAGTCCACATGCTGTGGGTTGACCCACAATGCCATTAGGAAGGAAATTCCAGGATCTTGACCCAGCGACAGTGAAGGAACGACAACATATTTCCAAATCAGGATGGTGAGTGACTTGGAGGGGAACTTTCAGGTGATGGTGTTCCCATGTATCTGCTGCCCGTGTCCTTCTCGATGGAAGTGGTCATGGTTTTAGAAGTTGCTGCCTAAGGATCCTTGATGAATTTCTGCAGTGCATCTTGTAGATAGTACGAACTGCTCCTACTGAGCATCGGTGGTGGAGGGAGTGCTTGTGGATGTGGTGCCAATGAAGCAGCTGCTTTGACTTGGATGGTGTCAAGTTTCTTGAGTGTTGCTGGAGCTCTACCCATGCAGGCAAGTGGGCAGTATTCCATCACGCTCCTGACTTGTGCCTTGTACATAGTAGACAGGCTTTGGGGAGTCAGGAGGTGAGTTACTCGGTGCAGCATTTCTCGCTTCTGATCTGCTGTTGTAGCTACCCTGTTTATGTGGTGAGTTCAGTTGAGTTTCTGGTCAGTGGTAACACCAGGATGTTGATAGTGGGGTATTCAGTGACACCATTGAATGTCAAGGGGCAGTGATTAGTTTATCTCTTCCTGGAAATCGTCATTACCTCACATTTGTGTGGCATGAATGTTACTTGCCACTCGTCAGCCCAAGCCTGGATATTTTCCAGATCTCATTGCATTTGAATATGGACTGCTTCAGTATGTGAAGAGTCATGAATAATGCTGAACATTGTGCACTCATCAGCAAACTTCCCCACTTCTGACCTCGTGATGGAGGGAAGATCATTGCAGCTGAAGATGGTTGGGCCTAGGACACTACCCAGAGTGACTCATGCAGAGATGTCCTGGAGCTGAGATGATTGACCTCCAACAACCACAGCCATCTTCCTATGTGTCAGGTATGACTCCAACCAGTAGAGAGTTTGTTCGCTGATACCCATTGATTTTGCTAGGGCTCCATGATGTCACACTCAGTCGAATGCGGCCTCGATTGTCAAGAGCAGTCACTGTCACTTTCCTTCTGGAGTTCAGCTCTTTTGTCCATGTTTGAACCATTCCTGTATTTAGAGCAGGAGCTGAGTGACCCTGGCATAATTCAAACTGGGCATCATTGAACTGGTTATTTCTGAGCAGGTGCTGCTTGATAGCCCTGTTGATGACGCCTTCCATCACTTTACTGATTGAAAGTAAACTGATGAGGGGGTGGTAATTGGCCGGTTTGGATTTGTCCTGCTTTTTGTGTACAGGACATACCTGGACAATTTTCCACATTGTTGGGGTCGATGCCAGTGTTGTAACTGTACTGGAACAGCTTGGCTAGGTGAGCGGCACATTCTGGAGCACGCGTCTTCAGTACTATTGCCGGGCTGTTCTCAGGGTCCATGGCCTTTGCAGTATCCAGTGCCTCCAACCGTTTTTTGATATCAAATGGAGTGAATCGGAATGGCTGAAGACTGATATATGTGATGCTGGGGACCGCTGGAGGAGACTGAGATGGATATCCACTTGGCACTTCTGGCTGAAGGTTGCTGCAAATGCTTCAGCCTTACCTTTTGCACTGATATGTTGGGCTCTTCCATCATTGAGGATTGGGAAATTTGTGGAGCTGCCTCCTCCAGTGAATTGTTTAATTGTCCACCACCATTCATGACTGGATGTGGCAAGACTGACATCAGAGCTTAGATCTGATCTGTTGGTTGTGGGAGCGCTTAGCTCTGTCTGTCACTTGCTGCTTTTGCTGTTTGGCGGTCTGTTTGGTAGCTTCACCAGGTTGACGCCTCATTTTTAGGTATGCCTGGTGCTGCTTCTGGCATGCCCTCCTACACTGTCCACTGAACCAGGGTTGATCCCCTGGTGTGATCGTAATGGTTGAGTGGGGGATATGCTGGACATTGAGGTTACAGATTGTGCAGGAGCACAATTCTGTTACTGTCGATGGCCCACAGTGCCCCATGGATACCCAGTCTTGAGTTGTTCAATCTCTTCGAAGTCTGTCCCATTTAGCACAGTGATAGTGGCACACAGCACAATAGAGGGTATTTTCAATGCGAAGGCAGGTGGGTCCCTCATCACCTGCTGCAGACCCAGTCTAGCAGCTATGTCCTTTAGGACCCGACCAGCTCGATCTGTAGTGCTGCTGCTGAGACACTGTTGGTGGTGGACATTGAAATCCCCCACCCAGAGAACATTCTGCCACCACTCACCACCCTCGGTACTTCCTCCAAGTTTTGCTCAACATGGAGGAGCACTGATTCATCAGCCAAGGAAGGATGTTAATCGGCAGGAGATTTCCTTGCCCATGTTTAACCTTGAGCCATGAGACCTCATGGGGTCCAGAATCAATGTTGAGGACTCCCAGGGCAACTCCTTCCAGACTCTATACTACTATGCATCACCTCTACTGGGTGGGAAAGGACATTTCCAGGGATGGTGACAGTGGATCTGGGACATTATCTTTAAGGTATGATTCCGCAAGTATGACTATGTCAGCCTCTTGCCTGACTATGTGAAACAGCTCTGCCAATTTTGGCACTAGCCCCCAGATGTTAGTAAGGAGGTCTTTGCGGGGCTGTTTCTGCCCTTGTCTTTTCCTGTGCCTAGGCCAACGCCGAGTGGTTTGTCCAATTTCACTTCTTTGTTGGAACTTTGTAGTGATTGATACAAATGAGTGGCTTGCTTGGCCATTTGGGAGGACAGTTGAGAGTCAACCACATTGTTGTAGGTCTGGAGTCACATGTCAGATTTCCATCCCTGAAGGACATTAGTGAGCCAGATGGGTTTTTCTAACAATCAATAATGGTTTCGTGGTCATTAGTAGATTCTTAATTCCAGATATATTTTATATTGAATTCACATTCCACCATCTTCCATGGCTGGATTCGAACCCACGTCCCCAGAACATCAGCTGAGTTTCTGGATTAATAGTATTAATTCCAAGCTGGAGGGGCACCACTGGCCATATCACTGCAGCCAAAAGATGTCCATGTCCATGTCCAGAATCCAGACCTGAATCAGGCATTAAGCTCCTTTATATGTAAACATCTATAATCTATATGTACAAATATTATGATACATGAAGGCCTGATTGAAGCTCCCCATTTGAATATTGGTTTGTCCTGAGAACTGTCAGTGCTCTAAACCATATCTACACATCGCCAAACGGTGCTTTAAAACTGCAACAAGGCAAGTGCTTAAAATATACTGATGTCAATATGGTGTAGGAATGAACAGAGTGACCCCCCACATTCGAACCACACAGCACATAGAGAATGTAGACTACTCATGCAGAGGTATCCTGGGCCAAGGCCCAGAATGAATTAAACACGCACATAATCAAATGGTGTAATTGAAGAGAGAGAAAACTGTCTGTCACTGAAAATCCTAATCAGCCATGGGGACTAATGTTCTTGATGCTAGTAATGAGGCATGACATTCTGGTGGGGAGCTACCTTGTATTATAGCAATGGGGCCAGTAAAATAATCCTGCTGAGAATTTCCCCACTTCTTTGAATTAATGATGCCGGGCAATGACCAATAACATTGGATTGGATTCTTCTTTGTACTGTGCTGCACTACCTATAACTTGAGTCGTGTTAAATACCTCTGTGAAACTCGCTGCTGATAATATGTTTGATTATTCATGCTTGAACTCTGCTTTCCCAGAGGCATTTAGTTGAGCAGACAGTTAGGTTTTTCAAGGTGAATATTTGGATATTGTTAGGAATGTGTTCTGTTATTTGTGAATTGTCCATTGTCAGAAAGCTAAGTGGGAATCCTGTTGAGTAACAGAATACATGCTTCCAACTTAGAAGGTGAATTTTGTTTTCCTACTGCAGGATGAGGAAGATACTTCTGCTGGAAACAAAGGGGAACAAACAAAAAATCCTGACTTGCATGAGGACAATGTTACAGAGCAGACTCACCACATTATCATACCTAGTTACGCAGCATGGTTTGACTACAACAGGTAACCCTGTCGCAAGTGGTGTTTTTATTAACCATGCTGAGGCTGATGTGCATTTTGTTTGGTGAATAATGATCACTTACAATGAATTAAAATCTGCTATATTGGATGTTAATTTTCATTTCACTGTACAATGTTTGCAAATTCCCCGGTCCTGTATTTAATTCAGGCTGCAGGATAAGGCACTTATTCTTTTCCCTTTAAATTTTATTTCTTCAATCAGATGGGCCCAATGATGCACTGTAGTCTGTGATTGTGCAGGGAAATGATTAGACAGCACTGGTAAAAATGGCCAAATGGGCTCTCTCTGTGTTAAAATCTGAAATCATTAGAGTATCGCCAAACCTACATATGTTGTATGACCATATGCATTCCGAAGGTGACAATATTTTTATCTCACCATATCCAGCAGTCCAGGTACTGCACTGTCTGCATTCAAGATGGGTCAAATGAGGAACCTCAACTTAATCTAATCAGTCGGAAACTCATGAGATGAAACTGAACACTTTTTTTATTTCCCATCCCTGTCTGATTTTACTGTTCAAATCCACGGAAAACAACAGGCAGCAAATTTGACATGGCTGGTTTCCCACCAGACATGTTGAGTTCAAATTACCCTCCAAGTCTAACCACATGACACAATGTTTTTCTCACTCTAAGCTCAACCTGAAGAAGAGCAGCAGGAAAGTGATCAGCACAAGGGGATGGTTGAGTGGGAAGAGTGACATTGCCTAGTTCAGGAACCTGCCCTTTCGACTGCCCAGCCTGAATCAATTATTTCCAGATTTCTGGATCTCAGATTTCACTTCAACTTTGAATATAATCTGTTCAGACTAATACATGCAACATTATCAGATTGTAGAGCACAGTATTAACACCTAGCAACCTGGAAACACAAAAAGAATTCCAAGCCCCTTGTGATGGGACTGGAATTGAATCCAGATTATCATTTGCAGTGCCAGACTATATAGAGTGGTAGTTAACAGTTCCAACGAAGCCTGAAATAATATTCTTCTCAACAGTGTCCATGCCATTGAACGACGTGCTCTCCCAGAATTCTTTAATGGAAAAAATAAGTCCAAAACCCCAGAGATGTGAGTATTTACTTACATATGATATTATTTTTTGTAAAGAATGGTAAATGTCACGTTGATTCCCAGGTTTGCAACAGATTGGAAGACATAAATATGAATAATGGCACTTGAAAGTGGCCTCACCAACGATTTGGTAGTCTTGGGCAATCCCAATTCAGAGGTCAGCTCATAGCATTCATTAGAATATGGTGGTTGAATGACTTGCAAATGCTTGTCACTTCTAAATTTACTGGTGAGGGGATGATCTTAAAAAGACCTAATAACAGGTTTCACAGTCCTAAGTCATGGCCGGTGGTTTGTTACCACCAATTCACCAGTCATTCGTTGTTTTAAAAAGTCCTGCTTCTGCAGCACATGTAGGGAAAGCACAGAAAAGATTGTTATTTCTATGGGGTGCACCACATTCACTAAACACACCCAGGGTCTTTTAAAGGATTCATGGAATTAAACATGTTGCAATCCCTGTTGAGTGTTTAAAAAAGATGAATTTCCTAAATGACCAACAGAAATTACTAAAAGACAGTATCAAATGTTCTAAGACTTCTGCTATAAGTGACAAACAAATTAAAGTCAGTGTAGATCAAAGATTAATGAACAGGCAAACCAAAAGAAGGTAGTGCTGTCTTAACCAAGTAAATCGATCAAGATGGGTCCTATAACACCTCTGCCGTGCAGCACACTCTGGCAAGCATGTAGCGTTACAACTTGTTCTTGGAGCTAGTGGAGTGCCAGGGGATCAGTGCTGGGGCCTCAGCCATTCACAGTTTATGTCAGTGACTTGGATGAGGGTTTTGAAGCTAAATTTGCTGATCAAACAAAGATAGGTGAGAAAGTAAGTTGTCAAGAGGAGGTGGAGTCTACAAAGGAAAATAGGTAGGTTCAGTGATGGCTTAAAAATTTAGCAGATGAAATAAAATGTGGGAAAATATGCCCGTTAAATGGAAAGAGATTGCAAAACTCTACTACAGAGTGATCTGAGTATTTTGGTGCATGAATCACAAAATATTAGTGCATTGAGTGAAATGGAAGGCAAATGGAATGATGACATTTATTACTAGGGAGAGAAACAGTAATAGCAGATACATGCAGCAAGATTGAAAAAGTAAAATAGACAAAAACTTACAACTGTCATAGAAACATCCTTGAGTTTCAGTGGAATCATTCACTCTGGTAAGTAAATCCCATTTTCCTTACATGACTGAGTTCACTCAATGTTTAATATCTACCAACAGAGTACCACAACCACCATGATGTATAATAGTCATATCTCATTGTGATCTGTGCTTTTCCACACATATGCTTCTTTGAACTTTTCAAAAGTGGGCTGAGAAAATACATAGTAAGATGAGACCATGTGAATCATTAGGCTGCTTAATTTCACATTAAGTTAACGTGCAGATCAACAATCATGGTCACACCCATTTATTCATAGGAACAGGTGTAGGCCATTCAGCCCCTCGAGCCTGTGGCGCCATTCATTGAGATTATGGCTGATCTGTGGTCTAACTCCACATACATGCCTTCAGTCCATATCCCATAACACCTTTGCTTAACAAAAACCTACCTATCTCAGATTTAAAATTAACAACTGAACTAGCATCAACTGCTGTTTGTGTAAGAGAGATCCAAACCTCTACCATCCTTTGTGTGTAGAGATGCTTCCTAACATCCTGAATGGTCTGGTCCTAATTTTTGGACTTTTCAATCAGTACAGTGTATATTTCTGTAATAATAGCGAATCACATCCTCACATCAGCGAATTCTCCTCATTGGACTTAAACAAAATAACTACTTGTATTTTACTGAACCTGGCCAAAGTTTGCCCACACAGCTTCCTGTTTAAAGCTTGACTGACTTTGCAGCTTGTGCTGGGCCTGGTTGACTGTTTACATCCCAGTGTTCATAATCCAAGAGTTGGGCCATTGCAAGACCCCCTTTGTTGAGTATCTGGGACTTTTTCACTTAATGGCTATGAAGTGCTTACTAAATACCAAGACAGGCTTAACTATTTGCTCACTGTCTTACAGTCAACGGGGAAACAATTTCAGAGTTCAGTCTATTAGCATGTTAATCACCTTTAAAGTTTTGGCAAAGATCTGTGGCTCTGCTTGTGGGTGACGTTGTTGACTTGCCCACCGAGCTGGCTTGTTCTTGTTCAGGCGTTTTGTCACCATGCTAAATGACATGGGTTTGTAGTCATAGTAGCCCAAGCCAAACACAGACAGGCATGGTTCTCCACCCATAATGCAATCAACAAACATATAGAATTGCTACCATATACAAACCCAAACAGATCAAAACCGGAAATGACACTACTCACCGTAACGGACCAGACAGTATAAATTCCAAGCGGAGTAGAATAACATCACTTCATCGGAGGCTCCACTGATGATGTCACCTAGCGTGGTGATGAAACGTCTGAACAAAAACAAGCTAGCTCGGCGAGCAAGTCAACAACCTCATGTTAATCACCTTCTTTCTTAGTGCATTTTTGTGGAACTTGTGTTAAAAACATAATCCTTATAGCAATTCTTTTTTTCTTTCTGTGCATAAATGGTCAATAAGATTCCCAAACTTGGCAGACACTTTTAAGAATCAACCTCCCAACTCAGTAAATCTCAGTAGTGCTTATTCTTAGTGCTTACATGGACATGTATCTCGAAAGAAGTGACCAGGTGGAGCTAATGTTGGAAGAAAGCCAATTTGTATGGGGCTAATTGAAAATAAGACCTCTACAGGGGATCATTCGCATTTATCAAGAGGCCTTTATACATGTGAAAATCAGATTAAAAAATTCATTACAGGACTCGGTTAACTTGAGTTGAATCCTGAATTTTTACACAAAAGAAAGAAACTTGTATATCACCTTTCACAGCCTGAGGATACCTCCAAGTTGTTTATAGTGGTAGCCAATTTGCATATAGCAAGCTGCCATGCACAGCTGTTGGATAAATGACCAAACATCTGCACTTTTGAATGTTGGTCATGTAAGCTGCAACTTGGAATCATTTCATGGGATCTTTTGCTTCCAATTGAGCATGCAGATAGGCAAAGGGCAGCACTTCTGACAGTGCACTGGGCCATAGATTGTGCACTGTGAGCCCACCATTGCTTGATTCAGAGGTAGGAGCCACAGCTGACAAGCAGGCACACCCCTTTATCCAGGCTAGCGAGTGGCAAATGGAGCTCCATATGGAAAAATGTACATTGCTTGTAAAAATGAGATTATTCTTACCGTGAAAGGGATAGAATTGGCCAAGAAGGCAGGTGAGAAAGATCCAAGCTGGTTAGAAACTTACTGCTAACCATAAACTAACAGTGTGAGAGGTCATTAGTATGCAAAGTGACTAGGACACTGGGTTATATCACAAAATGTGTTCAGTTCACACTGAAGGCTATACAGTGGTATGGTTAGGCTAAACATAGAGCATGATGAACAATCTGATTAATCCAGGCTCTCAAAGTTTTGTGAAGTTTCTTAACAGTGACATTTTGGCAAAACTGATTCTTCAACCATCTCTTTAATCCCATTCTTCCCCAGTTACCTTGCCTATCGTAATTTCATGATTGACACGTACCGTCTGAATCCACAGGAGTACCTCACATCAACAGCATGCCGTCGAAATCTTGCAGGAGATGTCTGTGCGATAATGAGGTATGTAATAGAGAAGAATTGTTAGAATCCAGTTAAATTTTATAACTCAATTTAATTTTTCTGAAAGCCGTTGGGAACAATGGCTCCAGTGTCCTTAGTACAGGGGCCAGTAGCATTAAAATCTTTTTGAAAACCCAGGATAGGGTATAGCTAGGGTTCCAAGCACAGACTCTAAAGAGATCTGATCTTGCCCATGACTCTGATAACTGAGCCCTTGTATTTTTCCAGTGATTAGCAAATGCAGTTCTTCTCTGTAGTCCACTTCAAAATGTCCATTTACTTGTGCACAAGGCACTTGCCATCCCTGACCTTGTTACGATGATGGCATTGCCTTGATCGAAAATTTTGTTATTATTTAATGAGAGGGTGACGCGTTGTCCCTAACTGAAGCCTCAATACATAGCTACAATTTCCAGCATCTGTCTTACCCAAATTGCTGTGGTGGTGACGTTGCCTTCTTAGCAAATCTGACTGTGTTTGCTTCTCTCACTCTTGTTTTACTTTCTCTCTCTTTGAACATTTTAATCCACTCGTCACATACCTCTTTTAAAGTCCTTGTTCTCTACTCACCTCAAGTCCCACCCCAAGTTTGAGATATCTTCCCTCCTTTCTACTTTGGAGATTTCCATCATCATTCCAACTCCCCTCTTCCTTTCTTTGCATTTGTGACCCTTCCTTTGTATCATACTCACTTATTCTCATACTCATATTCACCGATGTCTCCTTGACCTCATCTTGTCCTATGGTCTCTGACCACTTCCTTCTATCCCTCATCACCCACATCATCTGACCCCCTTTGTTCTGCATCCACCCCTGGGAAGAAACTCCTTTCCACTACCTGCTGCTCCCCCCCAAATATAAAGTATACTTGCACTCTAGTTACAACTGTCCAGTCTTTTGTTTTCCATTCGTCACAATACTTCTGCAGGTATTTATTTTCTCAATTGATCCCTCAGATGCCCTTGTCCCCAGTAAAATCCATTCTAATTTCTTGTTGTATGGTTCTATCTTTAACCCCTTAATTACAAGGGTTATGTTTTTGTCTCACCATTCCCACAATAAATTCCCATGATCATATTTATTATGGGTTATGCTTATGTACATCCATCATTATGATTGCGCAATGTGGCCATTCAGTTTCCACAAGGTTGCTTCTGAAATTGTTCAGTCAATATTTTTGTTCCTCAGTAATTGACATTTTAATATACAAATAAGTATACATATATTTTTTTAAGTTGTAGAATGATATGTCTCATGGTGAAGATGAAATGAATTATTTGAATTACCTTTATAATGCTTTGTCAAACTTTTTCCTTCAAGGCCCCAATCTCTCCCAGGAGCCTGTTCTTTATATTTTGGGCCCAGACCTCAAACGCTGTGGGATAAATTTGCAAAGTGCAATTTCAGTATGTGCCAAATACCTAATTTCCCAATACTGGATGAATTAGTCAACTATTGTGATGAATTATTTTTATTTGAGCATCTAAACATTACGCTCAGCTTTTCACATACATAAGAAAAAAATGTTTCAAAGGCTTGTGGGTGCCAAATTTATCTGAGGTATGTTAAATAAACATACAGGGTTTGTGTATGAGAGACAGAAATAAATGAGTTCTGGTTACATTACTGTTGTAGGTTTTGTTTTGTATCAAGTTTAGAAAATATTTTAATACCAAGTTTGGGGGTAGGGGTGTGTGAAAAGAGAGAAACACTCATACTTTCACGCACTAACTCAATTAGAAAACGAACATGAATTTAGAGGATAAGAATGTGTGTCTTTTAATTCCACGTTCAGAAAACATATTGCATTTTAGAGTTAACTAATTGCCTCATCTGTTGTCAGTTAAAAAAGAGCAAATGAGCCAAAGGTTTGACTGTCTGACACCTGTATCTCAGGAAAAAAAATGGTGCAAGACAAAGAGGAGGGAATTATGTAGTGGGCAATGTAGGATAAAGAGAAATTGGGTGACTGGTGAAGGGAATGGGAAGGATATTGCTGATGACAATACTTATGGTAAGTAGAAGAATGTGATCTCTGTAAACTGTTTGTTCGTTTTTTAATGTTACTTTCTCATTCTCTTTGCTCTGCCTCTATCTCTAACGTAGAGTAATTTAAGGCCCAGAACAAGGTCTTTCAGTTCATAAAATCCACAGCAGCTCCCTCTGAACAATCTAGTCAGTCCCATTCCCCGGCTTAATTCTTTTGGCTCGGCAAGTTTATATATTTCAAGTATGTCAATTTCATTTTGACAACATTGATCATCTTTATTCGCATTGGCCTTGTAGGCACCGAGTTCCAAGTCATTTCCACTCATTGTGTACAAGAGTTCCTCCTCCCATTCCCCTGCATGTCTTGTTCAAAAACTTAAACCTGTGTCCCCTTGTCCTTGTACAGCCACCTTATCTAAACCTGTTATAGTCTTGTACATTTCTATACGATCTCCTCTCAACTCCTATTATCTAGGGAGAACAACTTTAGCCTTTATAACCTAATCTTGTAACTAAAACACCCCATCCTCAAATGATACCAGTAAATCTCCTCCCCACCCTTTCAAGGACCTCCACACCTTTCCTGAAATTGATGACCAGAACTGGATGCAATGATCTAAGCATGGCCTAATCAGAGCTTAATAAAGGTTCAGCACAACTTACTGTGTTTTTACTCAATGCTTCTATTAATGAAGCTCAAGATTCTGTACGTTTTGTCAGTCACACACTCGCATGTCCTGTCATGTTCAAAGGTCTCTGCATGTGCACCGCCAGGTCCCTCTGTCCCTGCATACTTTAGAACGGTGCCATTAAATCTCTACTGCCTTTCCCCATCCCTTGTGCCAAAATGCATCATCTCACACTTTTCTATATTAAGTTCCTACCCCTATCACCCTATTTGTACTGACTAGATCTTGATACTAAGAATAATCCAGAGGTTTATACTCTTGAGGTTTGACTTTTTATCTTGCTCCCTGGTTCCTGAAAATCTAAGTCATTGGCAACATGCCCTTTTGCTCCGATGTTCCGTGCACGGTGATTGGTTTCAGAAGTTGCTGCCGCACATGGTCCTCAGAGGTCCACACTGAGGAAAAATAAATCAGAGGGAACACTGGTCATTTGTAACATCATGTACCACAATTTCTGGCTCACTCCCTTCCCCCAGCTGAATATTCTGCACCTTCTTTGTGATGGCCTTTACTCTGGCACCAGGGAAGCAACATATATGTGGAATTCATAATACAGATACAGAAAGGCATGTCTGTCCTCCTAAATAAGTAATGTCCTATTATGACTGAATTTCTACTCTTTGTTGTTCCCTCTTGCACAGTCCCTTGCCCGTTGACGTCATTCCTTCAATGTGTCATCATTCTTTGCATCTACGTAGCGATATAGAAAATTGCCCAGCTATGTGCTGTCCACAAAAAAAAGGACAAATCCAAACTGGCCAGTCATGGCCCCATCCATCTCCTGTTGATCATCAGCAGTGATGGAAAGCGTTATCAACAGGGCTGTCAAGTGGAATAAAAACTGAAAGAACTGCGGATGCTGTAAATCAGAAACAAAAACAGAAATTGCTGGAAAAGCTCAGCAGGTCTTGCAGCATTTGTGGCGATAAATCAGAGTTAAAGTTTCGGGTCAAGAGACCATATCAAGTGGGACTTAGACAGCAATAACCTGCTCACCGATGCTCAGCTTGGGTTCCTTCCGGGCCACTCAGCTCCTGACCTCATTACACGTCACCTGCCCCACTACTAGCTAATTAATGGTATTACTGATTAAGATATAATTTGTGGCCTGATCCTGCCTGTGGATCACTTCTTTCAATAAATGCTTAGCCCGACTGAATTTTTCTCGTAAAGATCTGTAGGAAGTACTCACCAGGCAATTGAATTACCTTCACGACTTACTCATAGATGCGAAAAATAGTCATCAATCAATCAACTACCTGTTTTCCAATGATATCAAGTTTAAGTTTCTCAGAACACAATCATCCCTTTAGGAGGTATAGATTCATCTGACTGACTCTGACTCTGGCTCCTCCTCTTACCTGCTTTGCTGAGTGCTACAAATTGTTTGATTCCAGGTTTTCCTCTCACCAGCTCCTCTTAATGCTGCTAACTCTCACTCATTCTGCCAAGTGCTGCTGAATCTGTGTCTTTCTTTTGCACTGGACCCTGACAGCATCCTAGTAATAATATTGACAGCTCCAGGACATCTCTGCAGGAGTTCCTCAGGGCCTAGGTCTAAACATCTTCAGCTGCTTCATCATAGTCATGCAGCATGGAAGCAGACCCTTCAGTCCAACTAGTCCACTAACTATGGTTCCAAACGAAACTAGTCCCACTGCCTGCATTTGACCCATTTCCCTCCAAACCTTTCCTATTCATGTACTTATCCAAATGTTTTTTAAACATTCTAAATGTACCTGCATCCACCACTTCCTCTGGCAGTTCATTCCACACATGAACCACTCTATGGAAAAAAAAGTTGCCCCTCATTTCCTTTTTAAATCTTTCTCCTCTCACCTTAAAGATGTGCCCCCTAGTTTTGAACTCCCCCACCCTAGGGAAACCTTTACTATTCACCTTATCTATCCCCCTCATGATTTCATAAAACTCTATAATGTTACCCCTCAACCTCCTACATCCAGCCTATTTTTATAACCTAAACTCTCCATTCCCGGCAACATGCTGGTAGATCTTTTCTGAACCCTCTTCCTTCCATCAGCAGTCTGAAGTGGGAATATTCACTGATGATTGCACAATATTCGCAACCATTCCTGACTTCTTGGATACAGAATTAGTCCTCGCACAAATGCAGCAAGACTGGAACAGTGTCTAGACTTAAGTAAGTAACATTCCTGCCACACAAGTGCCTGGCAATGACCATCTCCAACGAAAGATTCTAACCATTGCTCCATGATATTCAATGGTGCTGCCATCACTGAATCTATTAACAATATCCTGGAGTTCCTATTACCCAAAACTGAACTGGACCAGCCATATGAATACTGCAACTGCAAGAACAGCTCAGAGGCTGCTGAATTCTGCAGCAAGTAACTTAACTCCCAAAACTTAAAAATTTGTTCACTAAGGCATAAGTCATGAGTGTGATGGAATATGCTCCACTTGCCTAGATGAGTGCAGCTCCAATAACTCTCTAGAGGCTTGACACAAACTAGCACAAACCATTCCATTTACTACCCCACCTTCGACATTCACTTACTGTCCCACCAACACAGTCACCAAAGTGTCTAAAATCTACAACATGCACTCCAGCAACTCACCAATGCACCTTCAGCAGCACTTCCAATCCCATTGCCTCTACCATCTAGAAGAACTAGTGCAGCAGACGCATGGGAACACCACCATCTGCAAGTTCCCTTCCAAGCCACACACCATCCTAACTTGGAACTGCATTGCTGTTCCTTCACTGTTGGGTCAGAGTCCTGGAACTCCAGTCCTAACAGCGCTGTGATCTACCTACATCACATGGACCACAAAAGGTTTGAGAAAGGTAGCTCACCATCACCTTCTTAAGGGTGATTGAGGATGGACAATAAATGCTGGCCTGGACAGCAATGTCCAGAACCCATGAACAACTTTTTAAAAATATTCAATAGCATAAGTATCGCTGAAGAATCCCCCATTAATAAATAATATAAAACAAAGAACTGCAGATGCTGAAAATTTGAAACAGACAGAAATTGCTAGAGAAACTCAGCAGATCTGGCAGCATCTATGGAGACAAAGCAGAGTTAACGTTTCAGGTCCAGTGTGGAAGGCGGATCAATGGACCTGAAACGTTAACTCTGCTTTCTCTCCACAGATGCTGTCAGACCCTGCTGAGTGTCTCCAGCAAGATCTGTTTTCCCCCATTAATCAACATCCTGCAGCTTGCAATGACCAGAAACTAAACCGGACCAGCCATATAAATACAGTGGCCACAAGAGCAGATCAACGGCTGAGTATTCTCTGCATTTAACTCTGTTCACCATTTAGAAGACGCAGTCAGGAGTGCAATGGAATACTTGCCTAGATGAGTGTGGTTCCAACAAGACTCACCAGCCAGGACAAAGCAGCCTGCTTGATTGCCACCTCATCCACCACCTTAAAAGATTTATCCTCAGATGCACAGGTGCACAGTTGCAGCAGTATGTACCAGCTACAAGATGTACTGTAGGGATTCTTCATAGTTCCTTCAACAGCACCTTCCAAAACTTGTGTCTTGCGTCATCTAGATGAACAAAGGTTGCAGAGGCATAGATGCACAACCACCTCAGAATTCCCTTTCAGGCTACATACCATCCTGACTTGGAAGTATGTTGCTGTTCCTTCACTGTCTCTGGGCAAAATTCTGGAGCTCCGTTTCTAACAGCACTGTGGGTGTACCTACATCACATGGACTGCAATGGCTCAAGAAGGCAATTTAGCGGCATGGTGACACAGTGATCAGCACTGCTGCCTCATGGCGGCAGGGACCCAGGTTTGAGTCCAGCATCGAGCGACTATCTGTGTGAAGTCTACACGTTCTCCCCATGTCTACATGATTTTCTTCCCATGGTCCAAATATGTGCAGCTTGGGTTGATTGGCCATGCTAAATTGCCTGTAGTGTCCAGGAATGTGCAGGCTGGTGGGTTAGCCATGATAAATGCAGAGTTCTGGGGTGTTGCTGCTAGGTCTGAGTGGGATGCTGTTTGGAGGGTTGGTGTGGACTGAGTGGGCTGAATAGCCTCTTTCCGCACTGGAGTTTCTATGATTCTGTGATTCTCGAGGTTATCTTGGATTGGCCACAAATGTTGGTTTAACCAGCAACACCCACATCCAATAAATCATTTTCTATTATATGTCACACTGTTCTGAGCCCTTAGTTCCCTGTTGAAACCCACAATTGTTCCCTTGTCAATTTGCCCCTTCTCTACTTAATTGCTCTTAACATGCACAGCAATACAGGGTATCTACTCTTATATCACTGTGTGTGTTTTGTCACCTGTAATTGTCTGACTCATTTGTATGTCACCTTTATGAAGCATGTTTTCTTCCTTCATGTGTGTGCCTTGAATTAGAACCATTTTATGGTTGCATAGAAGCGCACACTAGATCAATATTTAGTTCCTGTTTCTTGTGATATTTCTTGGTTGTTGGCAGGGTGCACGCTTTTCTCGAGCAATGGGGACTCATTAATTACCAGGTGGATGCAGAAAGCCGACCGACACCCATGGGTCCTCCCCCAACATCACATTTCCATGTGCTCGCTGACACACCTTCTGGTCTGGTGCCTCTTCAGCCCAAAGCTCCACAGGTTTGTTTCCAACATACTCTAAATGCAGCAAAGTCGGTATAGTATACAAACTGACATTGAATTCTCTGAATAATACACGTTCTATTAGCACGGTATTACAGTAATGAAGGAGAAAGATTATAAATTGAGACCAAACCACTTTTAGCATCCCCTTATTGCTGTTTTCCGAATGGGATTGGCAACAGGTTGAAGTAGACTTATGGTACAAACCAACTTTATTTTACAAAATTAGGGGGAATGAAGCTTGTTTGAATTAATGCTAATGTATTCAACTTTTGACAGACATCAGCATCCCAGCAAATGCTAAATTTCCCTGATAAGAACAAAGAGAAGGCAGCAGACATGCAAAACTTTGGATTGCGTACTGATATGTATGCTAAGAAAAATGTTCCTTCTAAGGTAAGGCAGGGTTTCAGACTTGAAGCAAGGCTTATGACTTTTGAATATCTGTGACTTGATAAACTTGTCATGCCAAACACAAGGAAAGATTTCCAGGTTAAGTGAGGCTAATCCTATTCGTAGTGTGGTTGCGTTCCATTATCCATTCAGATAAATTGAATTGGTAATTTAGTTGGGGCTAATTTGTTGGCAGTATCCTGTGGAAAAAAAAGTTAGCCAAAGAATGTTTGCTGTTCTGCTCAGATGGAAGCCATTTGGCCCATTGTGACTATACCTGTTGGAACAAGTCTTAGCCAACATTTCTCCCTCGAGCACCCCTGTCAAAAATAGACCACCAAGTCAGCACTGTTTGTGGGATCTCTCTGTGTAGAAAATAGGTGCTGCATTCACCTTCATAAGTAATTTCAGAGCAACTCGTAATTGTAAACTGCTTTGCTACATAAATTGAATAGTTATCATGCCTCCTAAGAAAGCATTTCCTTGATTTCATTTCTGCTTTCTTCTTCCCCAGAGTAAAGCAGCTGCTAGTGCTACACGAGAGTGGACAGAGCAAGAAACACTTTTACTGCTTGAGGTAACGACATGGGATTCTAATTCAAGAGCAATACCAGCATAGGCATGTCAGACTCTGACATCAAGACAGCATTTGACAAAGTAGTCAATAAATCTGGGCAAAACTGGAGTCCATAGAAATCAGTGGGAAATCTGTTCGCTAGCTAGAGTCATACCTGACATAGAGGAAAATGGTTGTGGTTATTGGAGACCAGTTATCCCAGCTCCAGAGCACCTCTGGAAGGTTTCCTCAGGGTAGTGTCCTAGACCCAACCATCTTCAACTGCTTCATTAATGACCTTCCCTCCTTCATAAGGTTAGAAGTGGGGATATTTGCTGATGATTGGTGCTGAACATTGCACATTCATGGCTCCTCAGATACAGAAGCAGTCCATGTTCAAATGCAGCAACACATATGCTGTATCCAGGTTTGGGCTGAAACGTGGTAAATGCATTCGTGCTACACGACTGCGAAGGAATGGCCATCTCCAACAAGACATAATTGAACCATCACCATTCAGGAGGGGGTTACACTGGCCAGAAACTAAACTTGGACCAGCTACGTAAATACTGTAGCTACAAGAACAGGTCAGAGGCTAGGACATCTAAGGTCAGCAACTTAGCTCCTGTATGCCCAAAGCCTGTCTAGCGTGTCTAAGATACAAATCAGGAGTGTGATAGAATACTCTCCACTTGTCTGGATGATTGCAACTCTACTTGACATCATCCAGGGCAATGTAGCCTGCTTCATCAGCGACTCATCCACCATCTTCAACATTCAGTCCTTTGTATCATGGAAACAGTGTATACCATCTGTTACAACTCACTTTCAACAGCTACCAAACTCTCAACCTCTCAAATCTAAAAGACAAGGGCTGCAGACGCATGGGAACTTCAAGACCCATCCAAGCCCCGCTTTGTCCTGACTTGGAAAAACATCACTGTTCCTTCACTGTCACTGGGTCGAAATTCTGCAACTCCCTCACTACACCAAATTGACTGCACTAATTCAGAAATGCAGCTCACTGCCTCTCCCTTGAGGGCAATTGGAAATAGAAAATAAATGCCGTCCTTGCCAATAAGGCTCACAAAGCATGAATAAATAAAAAAAAATGACTTTGTTAATGACTATCCCTCGTGTTCTCCCACATGCGCCAGAATAACAGGATTTAATTTTACTGGCATTATTAAGAGCCATTATTATACAGTCCAGAATTGATAGGCCAAAGGGCCTTTACTGCACTGGATGACTCTATAAGAACCAGTCACTCTTCAGGGAGAGGATAAGTCCTTGATAGAATTTGTAAAACAAATGCATTTAGATGCTGCCAATTCTTTTGCAATGTTGAATTTGTTTGTTCCAAAGGGCCACTTTAATGGGGTTGTGCCAACAGCAGCATGGTTCAGAAAATTGGGCATAAAGCTCACCTAACTCCTGATCCTATCATGACAAGGTTCCAACTATTTATGCTACTCTGGACTTAATCAACCAAATTCTGCCTGATCAGATGCAGGTACATTGTATCTCAGTGCCATCTCGCTCTTTCTCTCTCTTACCTCTTCAAAACAAAGGTTCAGTCAGCCCTTTGCTCAATCAACATCTCACGTCTGATATCAAAATTACACATTGTTCTCAAAAGACACAACACTTATGCCTTCTATTAAAGCTGAACTATCTCTGTGCCTTCTCCTGGCACTTTTTCTATCATGTGCCCATGAACAAATACTGTCCATAGTAAACAGTTTCAAAATATTCTTATTTATTTAGTGCTTTTTAACCTGAAAGACATGTTATCTTAATGGCATGACCATGCTTTGTGTGATGACAAGATTAGGTGTGCTTGGTCTCAGGTTGGTGATGGCCTTGAGTTTCTAATTACTGAATCATGAGATTGTCTGACAGTAAAGCGAATGCCAGTTCCTGTTCGACTCTGTGACCACTCACTCCAACCGGGTGCTCAAAGGATTGAAATTGTAACAGGCACAGTGAGATGATGCTGCCTTGTCGGTTTTTTTTCTCTAGCCAAATTCCCCCCCGTGGATCTGCCAGCTGGATAACCATTGATTTGCTGGAAAGGATGTCTTTGGTGTGAGTGAAGCTTGTTGTCCTGGCTGTTTCCACTCAATTGTCAATCAGTGGTCTCAAGTTCTCAGCGACAGCAGTAACACTCATTGAAAGAAAATTGAAAGAAATAAAGAAACCTTGCTTCCTTTCTGTGTTGGGGATCCTCTGCAGAAAGTGTCACTCCTTCCCGGATTCTCTGTATATCTGAAAATCACTCTGGCTCTACTCCATTAACGTCAAAGCTGCAATCTGCTACTTTCTCCACCAAGCAGTCATGGAAGACTCAAAGGATGTTGAAAGCATGTACTTTTCCATTCCCTCCAGTCTACAGATTGTCCTATCCAGACAGTAGCTATACATTATCCCGCTCTGGTCTTTCTTCCTTGTCTCCTACCACCTCTGTGAATCACATTGTGCATGTTCCTCAAGTCCCTTCATTTCTTTGGTCCCTTTTTTTTTAAAACTAGTTGTGCAGACAAGGTGGCCACAGCCTTCTAAATTCAGGGTTAGGGGTTTGATCTAACTGAAGAATACAAACCCCAAAGGAGGGTGTGTGAAATCTTGGTTTTGACTCTCCTCTGCGCTAATATTTAGTGTTCTATCCTTTGGCACTAAGATCTCAAATCCATTTTCAGAACTGTCTGCTGACAGGGCAATTAAGGTTTCAGCCAGAAGGAGCCAAGCAATGTAAGAATTGTATGGGCCAGATGGCTGAGATATGAAACAATAGTGTTCTAACACCTTGTATTTTTGAACACCCTGCTGGTGACTGATTCATTTTCTCTTCCCTTTTCTCCCATACAGGCATTGGAGATGTATAAGGATGATTGGAATAAAGTCTCGGAACATGTAGGCAGTCGCACGCAGGATGAATGTATCTTGCATTTCTTACGTTTACCAATAGAAGATCCGTACCTTGAAGATTCTGAAGCCTCCTTAGGCCCGTTGGCTTACCAGCCAATCCCTTTCAGTCAGTCTGGCAATCCTGTCATGAGCACTGTGGCATTTCTGGCTTCAGTGGTTGACCCACGTGTGGCATCAGCAGCTGCAAAATCTGCATTAGGTAAGACAATTTAAAATTTTTGAGGTTGAATTGAAAACCAGGCTATATTGACTGTAGATAACAAGGTGTAGAGCTGGATGAACACAGCAGGCCAAGCAGCATTATAGGAGCAGGAAGGCTGACGTTTCGGGCCTAGGCCCTCCTTCAGAAATGGGGGAGGGGAAGGGGGTTCTGAAATATATAAGGAGAGAGGGGGAGGCGGATAGAAGATGGATAGAGGAGAAGATAGGTGGAGAGGAGACAGACAGGTCAAAGAGGCGGGGATGGAGCCAGTAAAGGTGAGTGTAGGTGGGGAGTTAGGGAGGAGATAGGTCAGTCCAGGGAGGATGGACAGGTCAAGG